ACTACCCAGGACATTTTTAAATTACTCCTGTTGAGATTCATCAAGATTAGATTTACTTCTGTCATACAGATCTTTCAGATAATCAGGAATCACTGCATCTTTTACCTGAAGCTTTGCAATTCTCTTAATGTTTTTGTTTGAGGACAAAGTAACACCTTGACATTGAGCCAAAATTCTACTAGAAGCCAGAGTAACTGGGTTGTCTGTCACATTAATGAGTTTAACATATGCTGCATTAGCCCTTTCCACAACACTGTTACTCGTGAGAAGACCACATTGTGCTAAAATCTCCTTACATGGCTCTAGAAGAACATTATTGTTCTGTTGATTATTGGGTAATGACAGTTTAACATAAGACACTGACTGTGGTGGAAGCAAGGTATCTTCAGCTACTACTGCAGTTCTGTCAGCTGCAAGAGTAGGTAACCAAACTCCCTGTTACTTGATCCTGTGATCTGCAATATCAACTACAGCACCTACACCAGTGAGTATGTCCATTCCCAAAATACCATCAACTTCGAACGAGTTCTCAATCTCAGCTACAAGAAATTCTTCCTGGGTAGGTTCCATGTCTTCTATTAAATTCAACAATGCCTTGAATATTCCCTTTACAGGAAATGAGGTTCCATTAACGGCCTCCAAGGACAAAGTAATAGGATTCAGTGAAACAGAATGAGGAAGACGCTTGTAAGATCTCAGAGATATCAAAGACACTTGGCTACCAGTATCCACTAACAAAGTAACGTAAGTATTATCCAGTTTGATATTCACTAACTGGCCTTCATCACCTATTTTAAAACAAGGTCTCATCATTGCAATAACTTGCTGAGAATCAGCTGTGAGAGAATTTTGTGGTTGCGCCACTGCTGCAATCACCTCCATTTCCAGCTGACCACTTGAGTGTGTTAACTTAGGATTCAAGTCATCCGCCAAATCCTGATCTAAGTCCCTGCGCATGCTGCGGGGTTGCTCTACCAGTTGACTGACACACACTGTGATGTCCAATGTCCTTGTCTATGACAGATTGAACAAAATGAATTTGCTCTCTTGTCATGCCTAGATGGACTCTGAGCGCTTCGCATGCCGCTATTTTTGGTACGCCCTGGACTGCCATAAGGAGTTTGACTCATTGAACTGTTTTGTCCCTTTGAACTACCACTTTCTTGCATTTGAGACAATCTGTCAACATTTTTTTGAAAGTCTGCCAGCTGTTTCGAAAAAACATTAAAGATCACATATACTCTAGGGGGATACAAATACATAAATCACTAACTGGCATCGCTATAAATGAAATCCCGTCATTAAAACTACTCACTTCGGTCTTTAATTAACTTAAATCGACCTTTTTGACAACAGTGCACAATTCTCACCTGCGAACGAAGTTTCAACCAATCAGAGGGGGCGTCTTTGTGACGTCATATGAGGAATAGATATGAGTGCCGATGCAGAATTCATCTACATTTCAGGGGGTAAATTATCTTGTTTACAGGTTTGTATAAACCTGAAATCGTGACAACTGTTGTAGAAAATGAAAGCTATATTTTATTCTACTGTCGTTTAATTATGTCTCCTGCTTTGCCTAGTTTCCGAGTTACAACTTGTTTTGATAGACGATTCTATCAAAATCGCTTGGTATCGTTAGGCCTTATTTGTATAATGACTGATCCAAATTGATCCCATTTCTGTGGTTTTTTTACCTCGATATTTAATCATGTCATGTAAAAATCTGTTTGTATTCTCAAAACAGTGTTTTCACATGCAACACAGCAATTAATACTCCCTTGTTGTAACCCGTGTTAGGTGGTATAAACCTACACGTTATTTGTCATCATTCACTTGATGGTCAGTTAATGAATTTATAACAGGTATAATTAGTGGTAACACACTTAGATTACCCGACAAATGTTCCCATTTGGCATTTCTTGCGTCTGGAGTGAATATTCAACATTATAAACATCGATCAAAGGATTAACCGATAACACGCTGGTTGATTAATTACTTTTATTTTACACAGCGGATTTGTCAAAAGGTAGTGTTTATGTATGTAGATTTACTAATCTATACTGAATACACTCTGTCGTGTCGGTGTCTGCGTAAAAACAACGTCCTTCTTTCAAAGGATTAACCGGCAATACATTGATTGATTGCTCATTATTGGCTAACTAAATTACTGTTTTTAAAGAAAGGCGGACATTATGCAATTAGTTGCCAGGTGTGCTATCTTGGGTAACCAATGAGACTATACACCAATGTGAAATACCTGAAAAGATTTATCACTTTTTCGCATATTAAACTGTTTAAGACACATCACTTGGAACAGCTGCAGATGAATGGCATATCACTCGTTTATGTGGATCTTGATGGATACATTCCTCGAACAAGGTAATAGCCTGACATTGTTCCTATAACTTTAATCTGTTTTAATTGTAATATTTGCATTTTGTTTTTATTCATTTGTCGTAGCATTCAACAAATCGTTTTTTTCGCTGTGAAGTGTAATGAGACAGACAACATACACTAGGTTGTGTGTGCGAATTATGATTCACATTGGCAAACTATAAAATGTGTAGATATTACAATTCTGTTATAAATTCACTATAAGTATCAGCAGATCGTCTGCTTTTTATTTAGTTTCAAAATGCATACAAGTTTAAACTATTTAGGATTATAAGACCAAATATAAAGACGTACATTGACTAGTATCTACATACTGGTGAGTGGACATTAACCATGTGAATGTAGCAAGAAATTTATCGCGCAGTATTGTGACTTTGACCCCCACCTCGCTTCCGTGGAAGAAATCGTTATGTTTTAAGTTGTGTCATGCAAAATCCTTTTGGTTATGATTCAAATACATATTTAACTACGAGTAGAAAGTAGTTTTGATTTTCTAACTTGATGAAAACAAACCATAATCTCACTAATTCTAACAGGCTTTAGCCCGTCACTTTATGATTTTCAAAAATGGCGGCGCCCTGTCGCGACATACGCCAGTCTGAGGATAAATGGTATTTAGGTTTGTTTTCACCGAGTTACAAAATCAAAACTACTTTCTACTGGTAGTAAAAAGGTATTTGATTGATGGCCAATAGGATTTTGCATAACATGATTATAACATAACAATTTCTCTCGTGGCAGCGAAGTGGGTGTCAATATAATACTATTTACAATATTATTGTTACTTCGACCACAACCTCACTTCCGAGGAAGAAATCATTATGTTACAAGCTGTGTCATGGAAAATCTTTATGGTCATCAATCATATACATATTTTACTACAACTAGTAAGTAGTTTTTATTCTTTAACTTCCGTGAAGCGATCTGACCACAAGTAAGATATCGTTTCAGGCTTCCACAACGCTCGCTTTGCACTCACAAACATAACCCATTTAGCACGAACTGCGGGTCCTGTGGAAATCTGTGCATGGTGACACCATCGTCCAACCCCTAGGAGCAATTGACGACAAAGCAATGATTAGGCACGTCGTCGTTGATGTCGAGAAATCATCAAAATGATGAGCGTGCTACACACTTTCTATACAACTAACTGAAAATCGTTCCTCATATGACGTCACTGCAGTGCTCTGGCGACAGAGTTACGTAACCTGTCTGTGGTTTCGTTGGCAGGCGAGAGTGAAGCAGGTGACTTTTTGGCAAGTTTTTTAAGAATGAATTTTGTGTTTCGCATAAGTCTAACCACGAATCTTTCACATGTAATAGTTAAAAGAGTACAAAAAAACAAAGTTTATTTGTTCTTTAAGTTTATCCTCAGTTCTATCCGGCGACTCAAAATGTACTTTCTTCTCCGCAGGTTGTGTGTATGCAGTGGCTTTCACAGACCTGTGAGTGGTCCGACAGATTGGTCCGCTCAATACAGACTCATACCTTTCTTTAACATCAATTGCTCCTTGTAGTGTGCAAACACTCTGGTCAAGGAACCGGAGATGGAGATCTTTGTCAACTGCTCTTTTTCAGAGCATCTAGCGCCAATCTCTCCTGGAGGCCATCATCCAGGTCAGGATAGGCTTCCTGGACAAGTCGCCAAACATCATCTCTCAAGTCTGCTATTGACTCCCCAGGGTTATGATTTCGGTTTAGTAATTCTTCCTGCTTAACCTCAGGAAAACTTCTACCATATCGTCTCTGAAGGGTATCTGCAAGCCATTGGTAGTCATTGCGACTACGCTCAGGTAACCTGGCATAAAACACCTGTGCTGCTCCTTCCAGAGCGCATCCTAGCATATCAGCACACTGCTGGTCAGTCCAATGTGATTGCCTAGCCACATTCCTAAATTGAGCCTCAAAGGCAGCATAATCCCCCCTTACCACTGAAATTTGGCAAGTGCAAAGAGATCCGCGCCACAGGAGTAGCTCTAGAATCAGTTTGTCTGACATCCATGGCATTAACCCGCTCCGCTAAGCTCAAAACTGTGTTTGAGAGCGGTGCCATGATGTTAATAATGTTCATCTCATTGTGACTGGCCATTTGCTGAGAAGGATGGTCATTCCTTCCAAGAGGTCTGTATGACACATTGTCATACAAAGATGGTGAGCAGTACTTTTGCCTGTTCGAGTCAAGCGACTGCGAATCACACTGAAAATGTTGCTGCCTGCCATGACCCTGCAAGTCGCCTTCACTGAAAGACCTACTCGGATCAACAGCCCTGGCGCGCTATCTTCTCTGGTGGCACCATCTTCCAATGGTCTGCGACATTCTCTCGCGACCTAGATACTGTTTTGATTATCCACAATACATTTGGTACGTGACCTTAAGTTAGTTGCAGGGCCTTCCATTGCATTGAGTTTATCAGAAAAACTATTTTGATAATCATCCATAATTACACTAATAAGCTGAGTTAAATTTCCACATCATATGTATTTATACAAAAAGAGAGGGGGGTGGGGAACGTGGTAGTCAGGATATATTTTATGTCCCATCCCAACCGTCAGTTTTGAAGATATATGTAAAAACGGATTAAAAGAAAATTCTAACAAATAAATAAAGTCAGTGAATCTTTACTCGCTGTTGTTGTTATTTATTTTACAGATGACAATAGCAATTCAAGGATAGGCAACTGCAAGAGTGAATAAAACTTTGCTAGTTTACCAACTTGTCCGTTATGACAGTTCAGAGTACTGTAGATCTATTATTCCTGTAACTTCCAAATTTTCAATTTCACAAGAATAACTTCTGTGCGCAAAGGCAGAGCCAAGAATGCAGCACTGTAGTTATTAGTAATTCAAATATAAAACTCTAATAATGCAAAATTTCCTAGAAAATATCTCGGCCCAAAAACACTACAACTTACGTTGAGTCTGTTGTCTCTCTAACTGCTTTAGAACGAGAGTACACTATATGACGTCATCGTACTTCCGGTAATGCATGTAGCAGAAGACGCCGAACGTTAGAGCGAGAAGAATGCGATCTAAGATCCAAATAAGACGTGACATTAAATTTAATGGATATAGTTTACCAGTTACCACCTCCAGGAACACGCCTGCGTAAGTACTATTTAAATATCCATTTATATTTTAGCAGATTTAATGTATAAACAATCTCTGAATCAACAACACGTTTTGATGACGTAATCGCCTGGAGATCGGCGGACAATTTGAGCATATCTCTGGAGCGAATCATAACCATTAAATCTTACGACAAAATACATTAATATGAACTTGTAACTACAATATACATTGTTTTTACACACAATACATGTATGTAATAAGATGTAATCATGTTTTGAGAAGTTAACAAACATGAACATGATCTCGGAAGCGTGATAAACATACAAAGTCCTCGATCATTTACGACCTGACTATTACAATAGCCCCGTTTTTTAAAGAAGACTGGTCCCAAGTTAACATATTTACATTAATACAGCTAAATAATCCTATTGTTTTCTCTCTCTTGCAGTTTGCCCTTACAGTTAAAAAGTGAGCATAAAAAAACGAACCTGGTTTTGTTGCATAACAATACAATTCAAACAATACAATTATGCATTTCAGATAAATACATGTTACAAATATCATGTACATACATTAATAATTCCTTACCAGGAAATCACAAGAGAAAATATAAGAAGACGAAAAGAAATGTGATAAGAACATCAGAGAAAATGAAATAAAATTGAAATTCTCCACGCTGAGACACAGTATGCACCCCTTGTCTCATTTATCCTATGTGTGTTGGCTGCCACTGCCCTGAGACATGCTTCAAATATAAGCATCAGCTGCGCGACGCTGGTCCAACTGTTGCTGAAAACGCCTCCCCTCAGCTGACTGCAGCACCGCCATCGCCTCCCAGCCTTTGGTGATGAATTCATCCAGCTGGAGCCTGTTAGTTGGGATGTCTTGGCAGGATGGTCACTGCGCCCCAGGCCGAGTAGCAGGGGCCTGTTGCAGGATAGTGATGCGCTCTCGAACAGCTGCAATTTCCATCTGCAGATCAGAGATACAATTACTAATACAGGATTTTAAACCGTAAGCATTATGTCTACAAGAGACATATTTAAAGAATACAGATAACCTTAATTTAAGACAGTACAGTGATTATCACTCCTTTTCTCCTCTGGGAGATAAAGCTACTAGGGGTGCTTCCATTTTAGTGCGGCAGGGTATTATTCATAGCCCTGTCTCACTTAATATGAATCTTCAGACTGTAGCTGTCCGTCTGACCCTGCACATTGCATTGACCCTGTGCAGCTTGTATATCCCTTCTTCTTCTGAAATTCGACATTCAGATCTTCAAAATCTCATGTCTCATCATGGGTGACCTGAACGGACACAGCCGCTTTGGAGAAGTGCCAACACAAATAATAAAGGTGAAATCATCGAGGAATTCATTTCAGATTATAATTTATTTATGTATTTTCAATGTTGATTCAGCCACTTATCTTCATCCAGCTACGGGAACATATTCTTCCCTGGATCCATCACTCACCGATTCAACCTTATATAATGAACTTGAATGGATGGTCCATGATGACTTATGTGGGAGTGATCACTTTCCCACCATTCTAAAAACAATCAAACCTGGTGATGATCCACCATTATCAAGAAGGAACTTCGCCAGGGCTGACTGATCATTATATGAGACTCTGTGTGTTTAACACTTGAATCATGATCTTTTTAGGAATAGTGAAGATCCTATACAGTTCTTTTCAGATATACTAAATTACATTGCTGACAAAACAATTCTTAAGTCCTCTGCAGTTCCACATATTTGTAAACCATGGTTTAATCATGAATGTAAACAGGCCAGAAAATGTAGGAAGAAAGCCGAAAAATATTTTTGCTGACATGAAAAATCGTAGTACATTGATCATTTGGTACGTTTAGTATTCCTTTGTTAAAAATGCTATGGTCAATAAACAACATGCAGTATCGATATTCTTTGATCTCGAGAAAGCATACGATACCATCTGGAAGCATGGCATTTTGAAGGATTTACATGACTTCGGTTTGAGGGGTCGTTTACCTTTTTTCTCACAGTTTTTAACAGACAGCCAATTTCAAGTCCGAGTGGGTTCAACCCTGTCTGATCATTACAACCAGGATCAGGTTGTCCCACAAGGCAGTATTTTGTCTGTCAACTTATTTAGTATCAAGATCAACAGTTGATCCAACGTTTTAAATGATACAATCGATGGATCACTTTTAGTAAGCTTAGAAGCATCAAGCCTATTCATGTACTACTACATTAGATTTTGATTTCAGCATTTGTTGAAATTTTGTTGACTGGAGACAACTCTGTGACTGAAAAACAACAGATTCATTCATGCATTTCAAAATAGAATCATTTAGAATTCTGAACGTTTTGTAAAATATAAGTGTGGAGTGGATGATTTGTTGGTAAGCAATTAAGTTCAATTGAATGTGAAATATTAAATGAAGACTTTATAAACATAACAACATACTGTCAATAATATGTATTTTCATACTAAGAGATTTTGAAACTGAATGAATCAAATGAATGAATGAATGAATGAATACTCTTTATTTCCCCCAGTGATTTGGAGAGTACATTAGATTATATTAGTTGTCAGTCGCACTGACGACAGAGACAATACATATGACAATTCAGTTCAACAGGGTTTTCACAACAAAAGAGAAATATAAAGAGCTGTATTTACATGGTGTGTGACATAATTTCACAGATATAATATACACCTTAAGTTCCATGAGCTGACATTTTTAGCCACGATGCTCATGAATGTTGCCCAGCTGTCAAGTGTCATATCATGGACCACATCCGTAATGGCACCGAGGTATGTCAGGACCTTAGCTTCATCACTAGCAGTGTCCTCGAGTCTGACATAGGTGTCAAGGTTGAGGTTATCAAACAACGTCTCACTTAGCACATTTCTTTGTTCAATGAGGCTTTCACAGTAAAGCAATTGATGCTTAACAATGTCTTCACTTTCGCAGTCACAGAGCAGACATTGTCCCGATGTTACAGGTAATATGCCGAGCATAACCAGGGCATAAACAGGAGGAGATGCGATACCATACCATACACACAGATTCCAGAGACGATGTGGAGCAAGCTGGGTGTGAATATCACTAAACCTATGCATATCAGGACGTTGTTGCAAAGTGTTTCTCCATTTAATATTTTCAAATCTACACACGGTTCGTTTGACTGTGCTTTCCCATATACTTTTACATGGGAATTCTCCGGTTTTGATAAATTTGTCTAGTACGCCTGATAACCCATACTTCTTGGCTACATTTAGTAGATCATGTGTTATGGATCTGGTACTATGTGTGGTAGTGGTGGCATACTGGCACAGTCTCAGATAGAAGATCGGCTTCACAATGGCTGTGCCGGCTGCTCTACAGAGTCGTCCTAGGAAGAGAAGCTTCATCTTGTCTATTCTGCCCAGCATTGTCCTTAATCCAAGGACCTGGATTGTAGCACCTGTAGACGACCTCTTGTGGAGATTCTGGACTCGCCACAAGCAAAGTACCAAGCAAAGTTTCCATTTCGTTGATTTCACAATTGCTGATATTTGGCCAGAGTTCACATGCATAGAAAGCAGATGGGAAGATTACTCTTTGCCAGATATTCGAAGAAGATATTGGGCTAAATCCTCCAGCTCTGAGGCCAACTTCTCTTAGGGAGTTGATTGTCTGTCTTGCTTTAGTACAAGCTCGAGTAGTTCGTCCACTTGCTTTCTCTGTGTGTATCAGAGAGCCAGCATAAATCGTGCTAGTATGGATCGGCAATGTCACGGCTCCAATTTGGAAGACAGATCTATTACATTGTCTTCTGTCGTTGATGAAAGACAAGACACAGCTCTTACTGGCGTTATATGTCAGTCTCCAGCGGAGGGCATACTGGTGGATAGCAGCAAGGGACATGTTCAGTCCATGTGCAGTAGTACTGGCAACAGTAGTATCATCAGCCAATAATACTGAGGGGATGTGCTCCTTACCAACGATTAGCCCGTATTGTAAATCATCAAGTTGGGATATCAGGTCATTGATATGAGACTCTGTGTGTTTAACACTTGAATCATGATCTTTTTAGGAATAGTGAAGATCCTATACAGTTCTTTTCAGATATACTAAATTACATTGCTGACAAAACAATTCTTAAGTCCTCTGCAGTTCCACATATTTGTAAACCATGGTTTAATCATGAATGTAAACAGGCCAGAAAATGTAGGAAGAAAGCCGAAAAATATTTTTGCTGACATGAAAAATCGTAGTACATTGATCATTTGGTACGTTTAGTATTCCTTTGTTAAAAATGCTATGGTCAATAAACAACATGCAGTATCGATATTCTTTGATCTCGAGAAAGCATACGATACCATCTGGAAGCATGGCATTTTGAAGGATTTACATGACTTCGGTTTGAGGGGTCGTTTACCTTTTTTCTCACAGTTTTTAACAGACAGCCAATTTCAAGTCCGAGTGGGTTCAACCCTGTCTGATCATTACAACCAGGATCAGGTTGTCCCACAAAGCAGTATTTTGTCTGTCAACTTATTTAGTATCAAGATCAACAGTTGATCCAACGTTTTAAATGATACAATCGATGGATCACTTTTAGTAAGCTTAGAAGCATCAAGCCTATTCATGTACTACTACATTAGATTTTGATTTCAGCATTTGTTGAAATTTTGTTGACTGGAGACAACTCTGTGACTGAAAAACAACAGATTCATTCATGCATTTCAAAATAGAATCATTTAGAATTCTGAACGTTTTGTAAAATATAAGTGTGGAGTGGATGATTTGTTGGTAAGCAATTAAGTTCAATTGAATGTGAAATATTAAATGAAGACTTTATAAACATAATAACATACTGTCAATAATATGTATTTTCATACTAAGAGATTTTGAAACTGAATGAATCAAATGAATTGTTTGAGGTCTCAACTTTGAATTGGAGGAAGGGGGAAACATCTGTTTTTACGAGTAAACACTTTCTAGTTAACATGTGTGAAGTTTGAACCTAGCATGTAATCTTTAAGAGATAGGCTCCGGACAAAGTTTTGGGATGGAAGGAAGGACAGAATGAACACAATGAACCCCTATTACATCGTAAGCGGGAGTATAAAAACGGAATCCAAATCAGAAATTACATCTAAATAAGGCACAAAGAAAATATTTCCAAAGATGACTTACAGCTGTAATATCCATGACTTTCTGTAGACTTTGAAGCAGCTCGATATCTCCAAGCACCTTAAACCCACATCATAACATACATTAACAGTACCAAACCCTGTCTTCTTTCAGGAGCTGTGGAGGTCAAGGTCATTTGCTGAAGTCAGTTCCTGGAGTTACTCAAAATTTCTCATTAATGAATGTTGTTTTATGTACAATTCCGAATTAAAGATGAAAATGATATGAATTCAGATCATTTCATTCAGATTGTGATAAATTAGCATCATTAATGAAATATGTACACCAAAAACACCATCATAGTTTTACAATGAAATGAAAGTACAATACTCTGAAGAGTCCGGTATCAGATATTTCCACTATCTATATGTAGCCGTGTATTTGTGCAATGGTGATGAAATGAATTTTGTTCAAATGATGGATAAAGCTCTTGCTGAGGGTCAAGCCTGAGAAAGGGAAAAGATGTTTCCATCTGAGCAACAGCAAGTGGAGTCATAAAATTTAAATCAAGTAAATAATTTTAACAAATTTTAACAATAAATATTAAATAGTTTAAAATATCACAGTAAATAATATGTTATCAATTTAAATACCAGAATAAAGTTTTTGCAATTTTGAACAAAAATGAAAGCACATGGTTTCAGCCATGTTTATAATTTACATTAATTGTGAAACTAATATATTTAACTAAATTTATATAATTATCAATTAAATATTACTTTTAATATTATACTATTATTATTATTTCAATAACATTTTGCACCTTTTTATAGGGATTTATAAAGTAATGAGGCAGATGGAAACAGATTAGAAAAATGAGAAAGGGAAAAGATGTTTCCAGCTCAGCAACTGCATGTGGAGTGAGATGGAAAACAGGTGGCCAAAGGAAGTAAGGTCAGAGGACACAATAGCCAAGAAAGTCTTTGATGTGACCTAAAAATAGAAATGGGAAAATCCCAAAGAATGGGCTATCTGGCTAAGAATAGCGAGGAAGTGAAGGGAAATCCTTGTTGACAAGGCTCCAGGAAACAGAAGGTGATGTGAGGTGAAATTGGGTTTTACGTCACGCTTGAGAATATTTCGCTCATATGACGACGTACATGCGTGTGTATGTGTATGTGTATGTGTATGTGCATGTGCGGCAGCTTGTACTAGCCCAGGGGGGAACAGAAGGAAAAGGTGAAGATGTATAGAGGCGGCATTCAACGGCAAGACTCTGACAACATGGAACAAATGAACATTTAACATATAATGATATTTATGAAACATGATGAAATGAATTGTAATGAGATTTAGTTTTCAGGCAATGTTAATAAAAACAGTGCTATATATAAATGACATGCACTTTTATACAAAAAGTCTATTCCCTTACACCTTCTCACTCACACCATCTCGAAATGAAAAAGAGGTTTATTCATCAATTTATAAGGGTCATTCTCAAAATTTGCCCAACTTTTGGTTAGTAACACATTGCTCTGAAAATATTGTTTCAATTTTTTTTTCAAAAATCATATTATGAAAGAAAAATGTATTTTGTTCCTCATAATGATGTAAAATGGTGTACCTGTTTGTTATTTTTGGGACAAAATTGGGTTTTTGTCATCATTTTGAAAGAAAAACCACTGTCAGTGGACAGCGACATTACTTTGCAGTACCATAAAGTTTAAATTCCAGGGTATTTATACATATTTTTTAAAGATTTATAATGAAACACCAATATTAAAAACACATTCCTGCATGAAATATTGAAAACAAAATGAAAATCACATATTTACAATGAAAACAATGACTGTCCAAAATGTCACTGTCAGCGGTGTAACGAATATAAACATGTGACATTAATAATTATCTCGTTTGAGTAAAAAATATGAAACACTAAATGGTCCCTTTGCTGATGACTTTCTTCTCGTGGCAGAAGTTTTGTGGAGGCCAAATTTTATTTTGATGTGGAAGTTTGATGCAGTTGGTGAGTCTACTTCATATCATAACTTTTTATCGAGTCAGTGGTGTAACCTTGATTTCTTATTAATGTGTTCTTTTTCATAACAATGTTTATTTAAAGTACATCAAAGTTGCTAAAACATCAACATTTATGCCAGGTGGTCTGTGGTTAGGGAGCATTAATTGTTATAAAGTTCATAAAAGTGGGAATAGGTCAGTGGTGTAACTGTCAGTGGTATAACATGGGAAAATGTTACGCCACTGACAATTTTTGTTACACCACTGACAAAATGTTCATTTAAGTCACTTGTTCACAAAACTCAACTGCTTTGCATTGTATTTATCCAGTATATTTTATGACCATTAACTCATGTAAAGTCTGTGAAGGTAATTTGTTCTGGTATATTAGTATATAAAGTTCAGAAAAATCAGTGGTGTAACAAAAAATGTCATTGGTGTAACAGTATTACTACAATATGTTCATTTTATATTATTTTAATAATAATATTTTTGAAAAGCCTTTTAAAATCTGAGTGTTCAAAAGTTGCTATTGAGCTGTTCAATTCTATTAATGATCAATTAAAGGCAATTAATTTGAATTTATCGTTGAAGTTAATTCAATAAAAATCAGTGGTGTAACAAAAAATGTCATTGGTGTAACAATATTACTACAATTTGTTAATTTTATTGCTTTTGTATATTATTTTTTAAAAACCTTTTAAAATCTGAGTGTTCAGAATTTGCTGTTGAGCTGTTTAAATCTGTTAATTATCAATTAAAGGCAATTAATTTGGATTTATATTTAGAGTGAGGTAAAGAAAAATCAGTGGTGTAACACAACATGTCATTGGTGTCACAGTATTCTTTGAATTTGTACATTTTAATCTTAACTGTTGATATCATTTGTTTTCCAACACCACATGTTGGAAAGCCGTTCTCCAATGATGATTATTAAGTAATCCAAAGCATCATATGGCTGTTGATTTGGTTTACTGTTCCAGTAAGTTGCAGAAAGTTCAGTGGTGTAACAGGCAGGATATAAAAAAATATCAGTGGTGTAACATGCATATTTGCTAACATTTAATTATTTCAAAAGAATAATTTAACAGTTAGACTGATATTTTATGATAACTGAAAACAGCTTTAATAGCACTGTGTACATAAAACATGATCAGTCTTAAGTATACAAGTTATTTCAGAAAAAAATATCATATGTTACCATTACATTCTTCTCACACCAAGCCCTTTTTGCCAAATTTACAATTAAATATGTGAGAATAATGAAACGATTTAATTTATATTTGAAAATAGAAAAAGTTTGTAAATAATGACAAATGTGAAAAATTTCTTATCTGACATCAAAGTTTGAAAAAAGAATACTTTTATGCTTGTTACACCACTGACAGTTTTTTTCAGTGGATACTTTAAAAAAGTTTATTTTAAAAATATTTTATTACTTTCCTGTGTGCAAATTATCATGACCGCATTCTTTAATGTGTTGACCATTCAAAACAATAATGAGATAATTCAGTATGATGCTTTGTATTTTCATATTTTTCATAGCATGAATTTGGCCTTTTTTTGAGAATGACCCATAAACATTAAGGAAGAACCAGAAGTCACAACTTACAGCCAACATGTCCATCTTCTTCTGAAGAGTCTCTGAGTCAGCAATAGATGGCAGATGAATCTGGCGAGCATAGGCGTGTGGAATCACTGTGTAGAACCTCGACGACAGTTCCCTGAGTTTGTCTGCTGCTTGGTTGCCCTCCAACTCTTCTTCAATCTCATTCAACACCTCAAAGCCTTTAGCTCTCTGTGCCTTGCTCAGTTTACCCAGCGGCATATTCACTCCAGTGTCGAGACTGAGATTCTCCAGTTTCTGTGTAGACTCAACTAGACTGGCTTCCTCTACCCTTCTTCCACTGGTGACTACCACAGGCTGAAACACAGATTCATAGGTAAGAAGTATGTAATTTTCCCTGAAGTACCAAGAACAAACTATGTAAAGACTTGGAATATATGTGACACCTGATACGAGTAAAACTATCTTCCAAAATTTGAACATTTTAACTATACATTTTACATTTATAATACTTATCCTATCTCACGACTTGTACTCTCTCAAGTTTGACAGGTGAGTGGAAACGAACTGCAAACAAAGCCTTTCCTGCCTCCTTGTACCATTTGCCTAAACACTTCCCCATTGCTCCCTTCTGGACAGCTTCTTGAGCCCCTGTGAAGAATGCAGCTTGTCCCTTGACTGACTGACTGACTGACTGAGTTTGGTTTTATGCCGCTTTTAGCAATATTCCAGCAACATCACGGCGGGGGACACCAGAAATGGGCTGTCCCTTGACTGATTTAGTGGCCCCCAGATTGATTGTGTTGGTGTTTTCCTCATATTGGCAGTGCCCTGCCCCTTTTAATCAGCGCCCTTCCCTTTTCATTTAGCGCCCTGCCCTTTCGTATCACCCCATTATCTGCCCTTTGAAAAATCCAATATTTTACAATAAGTCAGGAGTTAGCTCCTTTCCCAGATGTTTTTTGTTGTGTAATAAAACTACCTATTTAAGTCATGGTGATTTCGGCTTTGTTCATTTTCATTCTGATACACAGTGCCAACCACAAGTAAGAGCAAAGAGGAAAAGAGTAGATGCTGTGAAGGCTGAAGCAAGGAAGTGTCGTCGACTTTTGGATTTCTTCACGCCGAACAGGTCATTTTGAACCTAAAGTGTCAAAATTAGAAAACATTTCCATTGTCATTTGTCAACCCAACAAGCTGATTCAAATCGCAATGAAAATAAGACGAACTAGATTGTTCAAATGAAACAAATCCCTCAAACGTTGATTCATGGCCTCAGTTTCTCGTGATCGAAGCTACAGATTTTCTACCGATTAAATTAAACCTGTTTGCCATTTCCAAGGCTATTTCGGGAATTTGTGGAGAGGTAAAAAATGTTACCCGTCTCTGTAGTGGGTTGCTTCTTGTGGAGTGTGCACGTAGGCCATAATCACTAAAACGAACATCTATCTGGTGACCTTTTTGTCGATCTTCCCTTCCAAAATCAATAAAAGCAGGTTATTTTAACATTGGAGTGGATGTGTATGGTCCCAATCTGTTCCGATGTTACAAATGTCAACATTTCGGTCATGAATCGCAGTCAGTTCAGAAGTCTGTGGTGTGTCACCATTGTGGTGACAACCATGAGAATACCACCGACTGTCAGAAAGATTACAAATGTGCCAACTGTAACGGTCCACATTCTGCATCATCCAAGTCCTGTCTGGCTATCAAAGGGAGTCACAAATCATGAAAATTAAAACTGAAAAAAACATCTCTTACTTCGATGTAAAAAAACTATGGAGTCATCAATCTTTAGATCAGTCAACTGTCACATACTCTGCTGCTGTCACTCATTCTGCAGAAATGTCCTCTACTGCATGTCAGACTGACTGGACTTGGGTCAAGTCAGCTCAACCTATTCAACTTCAGCCCCGACACAGACTACCACAGTCACTCGATCTCCGTCTAGTTCCCAGACAGATGAAACTGATCCCGAGACACCATCAGAAAAGTCTGTATCAAAACCAGTGAAAAAGAAGAAAGGAAAACAATTAACAAGAGACAAACTACATACTGTCCCTTCACCTTCAGAGGTTCCAACGGGCGGTGGGGTAGACTAGTGGTTAAAGTGTTGGCTCGTCACGCCGAAGACCCGGGTTCGAATCCCCACATGGGTACAATGTGTGAAGCCCATTTCTGGTGTGCCCCGCCGTGATGTTGCTGAAATATTGCTAAAAGCGGCGTAAAACCAAACTCAGTCAGTCAGAGGTTCCAACACAGAATACATTCGGGCCTCTTGATATGGAGATTACTCTGTCCTCACAGGACAGGAGGAGGAATAGTTCCTCCCCACATTCCCGTGAACGATCGCCAATTGAAGCACCATGACTCAATTGTCGACTTTAATGCAGTGGAAATGCAGAGGACGGAAAAATAACTTTAATGAGATACAATTACTAATACAGGATTTTAAACCGTCAGCATGATGTCTACAAGAGACATATTTAGAGAATACAGATAACCTTAATTTAAGACAGTACAGTGATTATCACTCCTTTTCTCCTCTGGGAGATAAAGCTACTGGGGGTGCTTCCATTTTAGTGCAGCAGGGTATTATACATAGCCCTGTCTCACTTAATATGAATCTTTCGACTGTAGCTGTCCATGTGACCCTGCACGTTGCATTGACCCTGTTCAGCTTGTATATCCATCCTTCTTCTGAAATTCGACATTCAGATCTTCAAAATCTCATGTCTCATCATGGGTGACCTGAACGGACACAACCCGCTTTGGGGAAGTGCCAACACAAATAATAAAGGTGAAATCATCGAGGAATTCATTTCAGATTATAATTTATTTATGTATTTTCAATGTTGATTCAGCCACTTATCTTCATCCAGCTACGGGAACATATTCTTCCCTGGATCTATCACTCACCGATTCAAAAATGCTATAGCCAATAAACAACATGCAGTATCGATATTCTTTGAACTCGAGAAAGCATACGATACCATCTGGAAGCATGGCATTTTGAAGGATTTACATGACTTCGGTTTGAGGGGTCGTTTACCTCTTTTTCTCAGTTTTTAACAGACAGGCAATTTCAAGTCCGAGTGGGTAGTATCAAGATCAACAGTTGATCCAATGTTTTAAATGATACAATCGATGGATCACTTTTTGAGGATGATTTTAATATTTCTTGTCGCGGTAAGAATATGCATACCATTGAACAGCAACTACAGTTGTGTTTAAACAAAATAAATAAATGGTGTCAGACGACTAGACCGCTCAGCCACCGCCGAAAACCGCAGTGGCTGAGCGGTCTAGGCATCTGACTTTGTGTGCTGGCGATTAGGTGCCTGACTGAGGGTGTGGGTTCGAATCCCAGATGGGACTCAACGCCAAAAAGTACTAGAATCTGTACTTTACTAAGAAAGAGTAATTCCAAATATAACATATGTTAAACAATGAGCAAGCTGCAATGAATGTCAATACAGATTTCTATTACAATGCATTTGAGTCACAAATATAAAAACATTAACTCACCAGAGGCTTGACATTTACACTGAGAGCAGACATACTGATTGAAGGTTGTTTACAATGACAACAGCTATGTTGATCAGACGATGACAATGGCAGACAGATGTATAAATCCAGTCATGTGTTACGAAAGCCATCGAAAACAAGACAGTAGGTCAAAACAAACACAAGAGATTGCCCCAAGGGAGGCAATTCTGAAGCACTATAAAAAAGTCATGCCGCTACAAAACTACTGCCATAGAACATATATGATGTGAGATGTGAGCCAAAACCCACACTCAAAACTTTCAACATTGTGACCCTTAATGACTATCACTTAATCAATGATAATACAAATTACAAAAAAACACACTCTCATAACAACTGGGTATATCTGTTGAGTTTTTATTTACTTTATTTCCAACAGTCGGACAGCGGGTCACAGATTACCCTATGTCAGTAGATCAGTTTTCCACCGCAACCTTTGACCTAAGATGAAAACACACAGCTAATCAGGTTTCCCTGTCTCACCCTGATGTACAGAAAGCCCCAGTAAAATTAAAACTTTTTCGACCTTAATCTGGCCCGCCCCTGCTTTGAAACCATCACCAGAGTCACCATCGGAGATGAAAAGGGGAAACGGCTCGGTTTAAGCTCAACTGGTTTATTGTTTTAACGATCTCTTTAACTTTAACTTTAATGCTCAGTTCCGAACAACATCGAATCACCCTTGCTCCTTTGCATAAGCTTAGTCAAGGATGTATTCAGCATCTTGGGAGCAGAACACATCGAAATCCACTGGCATTTCACTCTTCCCTGATGAGATTGTTTATTAGAGTAGAGGACAGCAAGCATGAGTGTTGATCATCTCTGCACTGTAGTACAACACTTACTTCTAAGTCTATGATGAAGTCACGCAAGGTGCTGGAATTAGAGAATAACCAACTCGGTATGAGTGATTATGGGAAATATGCCTGAGTTGAAATAATGTTCACGATATTAACGTTAACAATATTTCAATGATGGCACATTTCCCATAATCACTCGTACCGAATTGGTTGTTCTATTTATTACCCATAATGTAATTTTAAAAGAAGAACAACGAAATAAAAACCACCCAGAGACAGGAGTTGTGACCTCAAACAGCTGATTCGTATTCATGTGCATATTAAACTTCTTCCAGTGGTAATAACATAACTACTCTATGGAAAATATTACCTTGTAAAATCACTTTAAAATACAACAACAAAAAATTTATGGAATAATTTATCAAAAATTATGTTTTAAATGCAATATCATTGTACTTAATCACAGCTCAAACGTTATTTGATCAAGTCAGTGCCGCTGAACATTGTTCATTCACGACTGACATGTGTCTTGTGACAGATGACGGTGTAGTGTTGAAACACGCAAAAACCTGTCAATTTTTGGGAAAGTCAACGGTTAAAAGTTGGGAAAGACAACCATCACACGAATACATCTTGATAAAGTTTTCTGTCAAGAAACACCACAAGTTTGAAGATTAAACAACAATTTGTTCTGTGGAAGGCGTGTTACAGTCAAGTCATTGGTCCCAGTAGAGTACAGCAGTTCCAAGAAGGAATACGCCTCTTTGTAGCAGATGGTCGACTGACAGAGGAGTCATTCGAGATGTCGAAGTGGAATACACAACCATAAATTCGACCTGAGAATAGTGTATGTACAGAATGAAGATTTACAGCATGCAACAAAGACTGTGACGGACTCAATTGTCACACTTTCAGGTAACATCTTTTGTCGGTATCTTGCTGCTTTTATTTCCCCGAAATCAGTTTTAACAACAAACAGGTTGTAGGAATTCCAGGGCTCTAAAATTC